ACTCTCAATGCATCAAACTCCGAATTTAAAACTCGTTCAAAAGTGTGCAATATTTTAACAGAGTTTATAGAAAATTGTTGCCAAAATAATGTTTTCAAATCGGTTTCAGATCTGTCCCATACAATTGTAATATTGCCTTCAGTTGCATATCTTCGTTGACGTTATACACGCTATTTTAACTACGGGTTAATAGTATTAACAATAATGCTTTAAATGCATACAACTATAGTATACAGTTATACTGTTCATATTCCTACTTACTTTACTTTCATGACATTTAACAATGTAATTCAATATGACAAACTCACTGAAAACATTCAACTTTAATAAATAAAAGGTTGAAATACCTGCTTGTCGCCTTGTGGTCCGAAGTATTGTCCCAGTGGATTATGTACATTTTGGCGCGAGCGCCATCGTCGGATCCGGTGGTAGGTTAGTTCCGCAGATAATGACCCTAGGGCCATAAATGGGTAGGTTCGTTCCGCATTTGAATCTGGTGGGCCCCTTAAGTAGGTAGGTTATTTCCGCATTTATATTGACAAAGGTGGGTTACACTCCATTAGACAAGGGTAATTAGCCTCACTAAAAGCCGACGTAGAATGAATATTGAACAAATTTAAGTTAAATATCCAAAGATTGGATACGCTTGTATCCGATTCGAAATTCGGAATATTAATGATACAAACTCTACATATTTTAGGTTTAGGATGTAAGAAAATCACCTGTTTCATAAATGTTAACAAAATTGATCTTAGTAATAATACTGATTTGACTATTTAGTAATAATACTGCACAGATACCTGTGGAAAACCACTAACTCCTGCGAAGGATTCCACTCAAAATGGAAAGCCTCGTGTCCAACTTCACATCCTAACATTTTTTTGTTCTCAAAATGCTTGATGGAAGTTCAAATTGAAACATACATTTCAATCAACAGTAGGAACCGATGTAGAACGCTTTCAAGAAAGACCAGACTTAGGAAGGCATTTATTGATGAAAAGATTGCTCAATATCGAGCAAAAAGATTAACTAGAATGCAATACATCAACATGGTATCTTTTCACTTTTAGTTTGAATTGTTGTACGTAGAAACGTTGTATGGGCAATTATCATGTAACAATAACAATTATCATAATTAATTACCATTGTAATTATCATGTATGGGCAATTAACAAGTTTTCCTATGCTATTATCATATGTTGTACGTGTATACTCAATGCTATTATTTATGTTTTGGAATGTATACATTCATTTTACCATTCATTATGCTCTTTCGTTGTATTTTATTTTCATTATTTCGTTGTATTGTATTTTGTATGTTCATTGTATTTTGTATGTTCATTGTATTTAGTATGTTCATTGTATTTTGTATGTTCATTGTATTTGTTCTTTTTGTAAATTTAACATCTTGAAGGTAGGCCTAAAGAGAAATAAATAATATTATTTTTTAATATTACTATTATTCATACGACCTTACATAAAACCACACAAGATACTCTTTGATTATGCATTTTTTTACTGTTAGTGCAGGTAATCAGTAATACTTGATGAATAATTATAACTCTTTAAGAAAAATGACTGCAATTTGTAATCAGTATCACTTTATGCGGCTATGGGTAAAACGGGAACCATTTTTCGAAAACAGTAAAAACATGGTCAGCTTCTGAAATATGATACAATATTTACAAGACGTGTTTATTATAACTGTTATTATCCATGCGTATCTATACGTATCTGTGCGTATCTATGCGTATGTATTTCCATTAGTTGCATACGCTTTTAATAGGGTCTTTTAAACTCATAGAAAATTATGACTACTAGTTTTAATATAGCTTCTATAGTGCTGGTACTAGACAACTGCTCGATTTCGAGCAACATGTACACTAGTTCTGTTTTATATTTTTAATTTGTTATAAGATGCTTACAAAGTTTAAAGTTTTTCCTGTGACAGGTTTAGTTTACCAACTGAGCTATTAGCATTTTGTAACATAAGCGTATTTAAGCAGCAGCTGGTGTAATGTGATTTTTTAGTTTTAAGATTGCGGCTTCACAATAATGATTGGGATAATAATCTTCAATATAATAATAATCAATAATAATCTTCGCCCTTTAAGATTGGGATCGGTGAAAGAAATATCTGCATCAGCTATGGTAAAAAACTAGAGAAATCGTTACAACTGGAACATGCTACTTCAACTTTAACTCATTCAGAACTTGCTTATTTTTATGGATTATTTCGGTTGACTGGCATTTTTGTACGCTTCACTGATCTTTACAATTTCAAGAGATCTATTGTTAAAGCCGTCAAATGCGGAACTGACCTACCAGATTATAACCCACCCTACGGGACCCGGATTAGTGTAGGTAGCAAATGCGGAACCAACCTACCCCCTCGGATCCGTATAAGAACTATTCACTAAACTTCCCTGAAGAGGTGCGTAAAAAGTTCACAACACAAAACACACATAAAAACCGGTCGACCGTTAATTAACACTAGGTGAAACCCGTCGAAATCGACGGTAAGGGGCCTCCTCGTTTATATGGTCGTGTGGCTTCATTGGCAACAAATAATGCAAATGGAATAGCAATGTGGTACTTTCAAAGAGAAAAACATACTGTAAATTGGCTGTTACGTAAATATTGACGTTTACATGCATTGTTAATCAACGTATCTTATAATGGATAATGTGATCTAGTTTAAAAGGATTATGACCTTTCTGTCATGACAGTAGCTGCTTAAATAGTATTTATTCTTACAGCCAAAATATCATGTTACTTTCAATAATGTTACCAACCCAGTGGGCCACGGATGGCCACGGTCCGTAATATAGACCACTGCAAATAATTTTGTCAAGATAGGTACCATTTAGGCAAGGTTTTTGTGTTTAGATGTTATTAGACACGACAAGAGCACACTGAACTTCTTCTGCAGATGAATAAATGTTGGAGAAATATAAGCCGAATCATGAATGTCACAATGCGAGTTTGAGCATTTTGTAACTATATGAGGAGGTTACATCGTATTTTTTAGGCTGCTGCTCAGTGCACTTTAAGAATCTACTAGGGGTTTTATAAAATATTAGTAAAGTTTATTGATAAAAGTATACTGAAATGAGTAGGCCCTATAACAAAATTACCCCCACCACTTTTCATTAGTGTTTGGGAAAAATAATATTAAAAATTGTATTTTTATTTGATTAGGAACTAAAATGCATTGTGAAATTATTTTTTTCAAACAATGTGGGACTTTCGAGCCTTGATTGAACATTTTGGGTGGTTAGCGTTCCGGACTTGGGTGCGGGAGGGACGGGTTCGAATTCCCGGCTCATCCTCTAAACGTGAATGTCTTTTGCACCGCAAACAGCTGTTTATGATTGACTTAACTTGCCACTGGCGTAGAAAGAAATGTTGGTACAAATTTAGAAGCTGGACTTAACAACTCTACAAAACTCACTCTACAAAAGTGAAAATTTTCAATTTGACCTATAGGCTTATCCTGCAATGAATGCTTATCAAATAAAATTAAATCAGTCAAATAATTTGATTGCCTTCATCCATTGAACTAATGTATTATTATCAATTTCATGCACCCAAAGTTTTTCGTTTTAATTCCTACAAGTATTTTATACTCTCCACATATTTATAAATTATTTTCAACTTTTTAGTTTTTAATGTGTGTGGATGTTAAATCTATTTCAGGCATCTATATCAGGTTAAGACAGAGGCGTGTGGGAAATCTAAGGTTTACTTGAGTTTTTTTTCATATAATTATGCATTAGTATGACCTACCTACTAACTATAAATATATCAAAATATTTAATTTATTGTTTACTTTATAGAATACTAAATAAATAACAAATTACATTATTAACAAACACCTTTATATCAGCAATCAGATTGTTTATCTTTATTTTGAAATGTTTCTTTGTGTATAAAGAATCTCTGCACAATTTTTATTTCAGCTGCAGTTCCTCTTTACCTCTGCTCTTCGAACTGTCAAATTTAAGTATTTACAGCTGACTTATATTAATTGATATATATATATGTATATTTTTTTATTTATTTACTTTACAATCTGTTCTATTATATATTGAACAATAAGTGAATACTATGTAATACGAAAAATTGACTTTGGAACATTAAAAATAGCTGTTAAGCACTCTCAACAACAAATTTTTCAATAAAAACACTTTACAAAAATCTGTAGGGCAGGTCGAGAATTGATGGCCTCTTAAGTCTGTAAATTGTATCCATGTTGTTTAATAAGTTAAGAGCTGAATGATTTTGATGAGATTCCAATTTTGTAATATAACGTTCACTTATGGTCATGATTTCGTCCTTAACTGTAGGCATCTTAAGGTCTTGATGTAGTGTCCTATTGCTGACATACCATGGTGCATTTGTTATCTTCCTCAGCATTGTCGATTGGTATCTTTGGAGAATTTCTATATTAGAAGTACTCACCGAGCCCCATAGTTGCACTCCATATGTCCATATTGGTTTCAATATAGTTTTATATAGCAATAATTTATTTTCTAGACTAAGTTTTGATTTTCTTCTGATGAGCCAATTTAACTGATTAGATTTTAAATTTAGTTGTTGCCGTTTTCTCCAAATGTGTGTTTTCCAAGTTAACTTCCTATCTAAATGGATACCTAAGTATTTAACCTCAGTTACTTCGGGAAGTTGGGCGTTGTTTATTGTGACAGGTGGACAAGAATTTTGATTTAGAGTAAAAGAAATGTGGACAGATTTAGTTTCATTAAATGAAGTGAATCTAGCAAAGGCAAATCTAAATATTTCTCAACTGAAGCGTCTCTAGTCTGCTACTGGAGTGTTAGAGAAGGTAGAAGCTGTTCAGTACGATGAGATAACAGCTCTTATCACTACCACCGTGAGATGATAACATTGTGAGTTGCATCAACTTGCACTGACACAAGCTGGATTTTACAAAGGATTTTTAATGTGTGTGGATGTTAAATCTATTTCAGGCATCTATATCAAGGTTAAGACAGAGGCGTGTGGGAAATCTAAGGTTTACTTGAGTTTGTTTTCATATAATTATGCATTAGATTGAATGTATGACCTACCTACTAACAATAAATATATCAATCTATTTAATTTATTGTTTACTTTATAGAATACTAAATAAATAACAAAATTACATTATTAAAAAACACCTTTATATCAGCAATCAGATTGTTTATCTTTATTTTGAAATGTTTCTTTGTATAAAGAATCTCTGCACAATTTTTATTTCAGCTGCAGTTCCTCTTTACCTCTGCTCTTCGAACTGTAAAATTTAATAATTTACAGCTGACTTAAATTAATTGATATATTTACATTTTTTCAAAATGTAAACATGGATAATTTGGAAGCCCAAGGGGCTTGGCCCAAGGGAAATATGAAAATTGAATGATATAATATTGCATTGTCATCCATTTGTGAGCTATGTTTCAAGTTTCAAGTCTCTAACTCATCGGGAAGTATCACAATTTGCAAGAAAGCGAGTTAATAAAAACAAGCCTGTGGGGCGTAGCCCAAGGGAAATATGAAAATTAAATTATATAATGTTGCATTGTCATTCATTTGTGAGCTATGTTTCAAGTTTCAAGTCTCTAGCTCATCGGAAACTTAGTATAAAATTGATTGCAAAATTTGTACCGGACAAGAAAGCGAGCTAATAAAAACGTTTTAAAAACTTGACCCTTTTGAATAAAATTTAAAACACTTAAGACACTATAAGCAACTCCAAACCACGTGCGATTAATAACCCCAATAATCTGATTAAGAACCGTGTAACTTAAATAATGGAGTTGGTTATAGCAGGAAAACAGCTTTGTAACTAGGCCCTAACTGTTAATTAAATAAACTGACTATATAGATAAAGTACCCACTAAGTAAGTCCAAACTTTAGTCCAAATCCTTCCGCTGGACTCCGAGAAAATATATGCAAACAATCATGCCCACAAACACACATAGCTCGAATTAAAGTAAAGTATTATTTGCATCGTGTATTCATTTTATAACAAACTAATTAACTATAAATGTTAGACCGTAGCCAATTTTCGTTGCCTACTTAATAAACAAATTTACCAAATAGATTATCAACTTTTCTCCACAAACTCCTTAAATTGCTTTTATTAAATTGAACAACATGAACCTCAACAACATAAAAACCCACGAGTGCAAGCACGTATGACACTATACTAAAGGTGGATTTTTATGGTTCGAAACTACAGTGGGCCAGTCCAAAGGTGCGCTCTACCTCAGCTCGGATTTCTCAATACGAAGTTGCTGAACGCCGATGCCCCTATGCCACCATTGTATTGAACAGCGCCATGGAGAGCGCTTGCAAGCCTTTCGAATCTGGTTGATTACATCGTTATTCTTAAAGTTTTTAATAAACTACCTGCAGATTCTTGTTTATAAGAATCTATTGCACTGTCCCCATTTTTTTTTATTTTTTCTCTAAAAATTTTTTGTATGCGTTAAAACTTATTATAAAAAACCCGTATTTTAACATTTTTACCAACATTTGAGCCCCACATTTTTTTTCAATTATCAAAATAAAAAAAACTGCAAAACTACAATAATATTACCGAAAAAATATGTCACCAAGATCTTTTAAATCGGCTCACAATTGGGGCTATAATCAGTAAGAACTCAAACCCTTACATTTGCGCGCAAAGATTTGTTGTAGGATGACGCTTGATCTATGTTATAGGTAGTTTATATTTTATACGTGTTAACTAATCTTGATTCTGAACATTGAAAATCCCCTGAAATAAAGTGTTTGTAATCAATATTAACCCTAAAATTAGTTACCTAATTAAAAACATTATCATTCGATGGTGTTTCTTTTCACATAGGCAAAATACCATTCTACTTCCGACACCTAAAGAGTTTCAAATAAAGAAAGCCTATCACCATTAATCAATACATCAAGGGGTACTTTATGTAACTAATAATTCTCACGTTAGGCTAGGTTATGCCTTTATAATTAATTTTATTTAGACCCAACACATTTTTAATCCTTAACCTAGTCTATTAATACTTGCTTTACCCATCAAAGATGAGTCGTAATAGTATATTTCGTACCTAGGGCCGAAAATGAGGTTTTGCCGGCTCGAGATAGTTTTTAAGTTCGAGACGAAGTCGAGAACTTAAATCGATCGAGAGCCGCAAAACCATTTCGGTCCGTGGTACGAACGCTATTTTTCACCACACTATACCCTATTACCACTATTCACCACAATAATAATGCACACTGATAGTCAACACAACTAAAACTTTAAGGTTATGTGAAGAAATAATTTGAGGAATCAGCAAAAATAAAAATATATAGTTGCTAGGCAACGGTGACAATAAAACAATTCTATTGAAATGCTATGGATTTTGATTATGTATTTAAAATGCATTCTAAATTTTATTCATGTTTTAAGTAAGTAAGCGGACAGCTGATTTTGCGGCCCCGGCCTGTAAAAACCTGCTCGGTCCCCAAATTATGGACAGCTGGTATCGCCAGCAAAACGTAACTTTCGGCCACCAATTAACGTATGTAATACAGCCAAAAACATGATAGTGTGGTGAAAACAACTTTTTCACCACACTATGATGTTTTTGGCTGTATTACATACGTTAATTGGTGGCTGAAAGTTACGTTTTGCTGGCCATGCCAGCTGTCATCGAAATGTGGGGACCGAGCAGGTTTTTACAGGCCGGGGCCGCAAAATCAGCTGTCCGCTTACTTACTTAAAACATGAATGCATTTTAAATACACAATCAAAATCCATAGCATTGCAATAAAATTGTGTTATTGTCGCCGTTGCCTAGCAACTATTTATTTTTATTTTTGCTGATTCCTCAAATTATTTCTTTCATTAACCTTAAAGTTGTAGTTGTGTTGACTATCAGTGTGCATTATTATAGTGGTGAATAGTGGTAATAGGGTATAGTGTGGTGAAAAATAGCGTTCGTACCACGGCCGAAATGGTTATGCAGCTCTCGATCGATTTAAGTTCTCGACTTCGTCTCGAACTTAAAAACTAACTCGAGCCGGCAAAACCTCATTTTCGGCCCTAGGTACGAAATATACTATTTCACCACTGTATGATGTTTTTAGCTGTTTTACATACGTTAATTGGTGGCTGAAAGTTACGTTTTGCTGGCCATGCCAGCTGTCATCGTCATTTGGGGACTGAGCAGGTTTTTACATTTTACATACCTAAGGCCGCAAAATCAGCTGCCCGCTTACTTTCTTAAAACATGAATGCATATTAAATTCAGTATCCATAGCATTGCAAGAGAATTGTTTTATAGCTACAGCTGCCTAGCAACTATTTATTATTATTTTTGCTGATTCCTCAAATTATCTCTTCAAATAACCTTAAAGTTGTAGTTGAGTTGAATATCAGTGTGCATTATAATTGTGTTGAATAGTGGTAATAGGGTATAGTGAGGTGAAAAAGCGTTCGTGCCACGGACCGAAATGGTTTTGCAGCTCTTGGTCGTTTATTAAAAACTATCTCAAGCTGGCAAAAACCTCATTTTCGGCCCTAGGTACGAAATATACTATTTCAGTTTTTTGCAACTGCACCAAAGTGGATATTTCCAACAAGGAATGAACGAAATACAACAAAGAATAGGCTATGAGTATGGTGTCATTGGATCATTCCATTCCCCTTTTCCCTGCAAACTCGGCCCCATAACAGGTGCAGGTGAGGACCGGAGCTGCGGTGTTCAAATTTGAAGGCTTGACCCACACCTTGGCCGTCACAGTTGCGTAATCTCTGTTTTTGAGAACCTCAGCCTCTTCCGGCCGAACCACTTTCTCTGACTTTCTTCGGTAACAGCCCAGGATCAGGCAATCAGCTGTTGTATAATCTGTGATGTAACACGGAGGCTGAGTTCCGGACTACTACTTACGTTCATGTTTAGTTGGCGGAGATAAAACTGGATATTATTTTTTGTAGTTTTTTGTAATGTTGGAATTTATTAATTAGTTAAGAAACTTCGTCAGGGTCGGTTCTGCTGCCTCTGTCAAATTGTCAAAATTAGGCTTTTAGACGTTTTAGCATACAAGTATAGTAAACGGTACCAGAAAACTGGACCCATGTTTTTTCCATTAGATTTTTGAATACTTAGTCGGTGTCCTCTTCAAATAATACGTCAAAAACTATTGTCAGTTATTGTGGATTTAAGATTTAAATAACAGGTATCAGCAATCTGACTCATACTTTCTCCCATTAGCTTGTCAACAACCTTTTTGGGTCAAACTACAAAGGTGGGACTCAGATGGGAGTAACTATGATATTACATAGGGAAAACGAACCATAATTTTTACAGCAATTGGGGTTTGCAATATTTTGTTTGGAGTAAGAAAGGACCACAACATACTAATTTTAATCAGAAATCAATTTTTTTTCGAAAATCCGATTTTTTGTTATTTTATGGGAAAGTAACAGAAGTCACAAAAACGTTTGAACTGCAATTTTTACAGCAATTGGAGATATACGATTTTGTTCAGAATTTCATGGGTTTTTATTGTGAAATCAGCATTAAAAAACCTCTGTGCCTTATCCAAAACTAAGGCTAGGATTATACTAGGACGCTGGCGTCCGAGAGGCCAGCGTCCGGGACGCTAGTGGGGCATTAAATCAAATGGGGGCGATTATACTATGGATGCTATATCCATAAGCGTCGGATGCTAAAAAAAGCCAACGAAAGCTCGAAGTTATTACCGTAGGTGGCATGGTAAGACCTAGGCCCGGGACCGATTTACTTTTTCATTTTGATGTCCCCAGAGGCCAAAAACACCATCCGTTCGTATAGATTTAAATATTATATAGGCTATATATGTCTGTAAACGCGATAACTGGAGTAATTTTTGTTCTATTTTGAAGAAATTTGGGTTTAAGGTGAAGGGTTGGCAGGGTTGGATAAATTTGAATGAGTGCGAACCAGCATGAACATAACTTGGGAACGGGGTTTTATGTGCTAAATAAGGGGGTTTGTCATTTTTGACCCATAAAACTATAAAATTCACAATTTCTCTCTAGCCAATTTTAATGAGCTTAAAAACAAGTGTTTTTTTACTGTTATTAGTTATGGAGAAAATTAAAAAAAGAGTGTATTAAAAATTTCCATGTTATTCTTATTGAAAATGTTGTTAATTGTTGGAATTTGCTTGTGTATGGATATATTTTGATTAAACTTGGCCAATTTGTTTTATACTAAGCTAATAATACAGTATTTTACTAAAAAACACACTTTATTAGCCCCCATGAAGCATCAAACCTTGGTACTCATTAAACCTAATGTTATTTAAATAGATATAAACAAAAAGTGACTAAACATTTAAATAAAATGGCATTCCGAGAGGCTAGCATCCCAACACAAATCACGTCATTTTTCGGCTCGAGGTGGGACGCTAGGCTCTCGGATGCCAGCATCCCGGATGCCAGCATCCCGGACGCCAGCGTTCTAGTATAATCCTAGCCTAACATTATACTAACATCATGTTGACAAAATTTAGGCGGTTGTAGGGAAAGCAATTCCATCACCTCCACGTACCTCACCCTACCTTAGAAACCACAGCTGGCCAAATGTTAATAAGCCCAACCCCAATCAGCTGTAACATGGATTAAGAAAACAGAAAACAAGTGGTGGGGGGGACCCAGGAAAACTCCCCCTCAACATAATGGACTATGAATTAGTGTGTACATTAATCCTCACATACATGTACTAGGATCTGCATTGAAAGTGTATTCATATTTAAATATTTCAGGATGTGGATAGAGGCAACACTCTTCATCTTCATCCTGGGACTTCTTTTGTACCTAGATTCGAAGAAACCGAAGAACTTCCCCCCTGGTGAGTACCAATATGTTAAAAATTGCGGGAAGAAAATGTCACTGACAATTCTAGTTTGTGGCTCTGTTTGCACACATAGTCCAAAAAGGTTTAATTTCAAATCAATAATCTAAATTCTAATTGATCGACATAGGTACTGTATGGGTTGTGTTGACTTGCATGGCAAGTGGGAGTGGAGGGAAATGTTACCAACAACACTGATATACACACTTCTATGTACGCTGGTGGTATTAAGTTAATCCTATGGCAATTAATTGATGAGATGACTGTACGAAATAAGAAAAGTAACTGTGGTAGGGGAAGGGTTCTTGTGTGTCACTATAATTGACACTGACTTTGACTTAGTATTTACTCCATGTTGGCGAATGGAAAAACGCTCATTTTGCTGGTTTGCTATCATTTTGAGGTATTTTATCATCATTTGTCTCTGTCGCCTACTTTATTTGGTTTATATTTTCAATTTATAACAAATCATATAAAACCAGTCAATTTACACATATACACCAATCCGTGTTTTCCAGGCCCAGTATGGTGGCCCGTGGTAGGCAGTGCGTTGGCCATTCATCGGCTAAGGAAGGAGATGGGAGGATATCTCTACCTCGCCTCTGTCAAGATGGCCGAGCAATATAAGACTGGCTGTGTGGGCCTGCGTATCGGTAAGGACCGAACTGTCGTCTGCACCAGCTATGAGGCGGTTAGAGAGATGATGATGAGGGAGGATTTTGACGGGAGACCTCACGGACCGTTCTACGAGACTCGCACTTGGGGAGTTCGGAGAGGTGAGCAAGGTTTAAATTCCATTTATTTACTATAATAAGTAGAATTTAACAATTAACTATGCATTAGAAGGTAATACACAGTATTATCATCAACCTGTAGGTATAGGATGAAACGTAGCCCTTTATGCTCATGAAAGATAAATTCAGATTATTTTTCTGTTGATTATTTTATACTGTGTGTTTGGGTGTTAGCTATTTATTCCTAATTAGCGAATTTTCCTAGGGGGAAATAGCTATTACCGTAGGTGGCAATGTAAGACCTACACCCAGTACAGATTTACTTTTTAATTTGGATATTCCCAGAGGCTATAAGCACGATTCGTTCAAATAGTGAGAGAGGCGAAGCCCTAAAGTAAATTACCTTTTTAATAAGGTACCATGCACAGTTGCACTAGATGATAAGCTGTAAAATTACATCTGAAACGTAAAAATCAGTTACGTAGGAGGGTTGGAAAAGGGATGTTACAAGGAAAACACTTATTGTATTAAGTATATAGATAAGGGTGCAAATCTACAAATGAGGAATGTATCATTAAAAATCCTCATTCTTTTGCCATTTAGTTACTTATTGATTTTCTTATATGTAACCCCAAAAAACCTATACTAAACATTTTCACATTAAGTACTTCTAAACATTCTTTATTAATTGTTTGAAATATTCAACTATTTTTTTCAGGTTTGATCCTAACTGATGAAGAGTTTTGGCAAGAACAGAAGCGCTTTGTCCTTCGACACTTGCGGGAGTTTGGTTTCGGTCGTAAGACGATGGCTGGACTAACAGAGGATGAGGCTGCGGCTCTGGTAGAATCATTTGAGAAGAGAATAGCAAAGAGTGGAAAGAATGGGATCTTGGTGGAAATGTCCAACGCTTTCAATGTGTGTGTCCTCAATACTTTGTGGTCCATGTTGGCTGGAATCAGATACAACCCTGAGGAAAAGGTAAAGTTTAAAGTATAGGTTGAAATACAGAATTGTGCTTTTTCAATTTCAAAATCAAGTTTAGTTTGATTCAAAGTTCTTTATGACACATCCAATCTAAAGGTTGATTTTAAAATAAAGGATGAGCTGGAGTGTGTGCTGTGTGGTGTTTCTGGCACTGATGTTCTCTTCAACTGATCGTGTCTCTTGCCAATGTAACCGTTGTCCAGTTTTACCTTGTAGTATAGGGCTCCAAGTTGAAAGATACCCCTATAGCGGGCTTGATTTGAACACCCGATCTACTTCGTTTGCCCATCAAGCCCAACATCACTGCCAGGCCCTCAGGGTTTCCCAAAAGGAGGCGGGTTTAGAAGTGGGACCCACCTGGATGAACCTATCCACCAAAGGTGGCGACACCCTTAACTCAATTGAGGTTCCAGAGAAAACCCCCCACACTCTAGATAACCATACCTTCCGGGCTCAGAGACAGGGATTGGCTGATGGAGTGCGCCCAGCCGTTACCCTCACACTGCGGAAAGTTACGCTCCCCTAGAGTGTCCCCGTGAGCTTACGGGTACTTGCCCGATTTCACCTCCAGGAAAGGCTACTTCCAAAGTCGAGGATTTGCCCCACATAATGTTGATCGCACACAGCAAGCGGGCCGAAGCCCATAGAACCATAGCCACAGGCAGGTGAGAGATTGATGGCGCACTTCCTCCTCTCGCAGAGCTGAACATACCACCAACCTGGATGGAGGAATGTCACTGGGTACTCTTCCCTTAGGGGCTAGCTTAGGAATGGATAGCAGGAATGGATGGCACTAATGGGAAAGGAATGTGACCGAGTGAACATATTAATCAAATGTGTTGTAATTTTAGCTTACTAGTCCTCTTTAATGTGAACTCAGGGGCTGTAATAAAATACTGGCCATTGTACCAGTGAACAATACATAACTTAGAACACAGACTCAACCTTTACTTCATCATAAGCTGTTCAGAACTAAGTACCTTTTTGATGTTTAGCAAAATGCTCTCTACAAGTTGATGGTACTGCTATGCTATTTTGTGTTACATTACGCTGTGTTACAGGAGCTACAAGACCTTCAAACTCTACTGACCGAGTTGTTCGCCAACATAGACATGGTGGGAGCTCTGTTCAGTCAGTTCCCTGTCCTGCAGTACCTAGCTCCCGAGATATCTGGCTACAACAAGTTTATGTACATTCACAAGCAACTGTGGAAGTTTTTGAGGGTAAGTTTTATAAAGGTTCACAAGAATTTCTAATGGCATTGCAAGGCAGTAAAGAATGTTTAGATGACAGTTTAAATAATATACCCCCGCCGCAGCAAACCTGCAGACTAAGCGAATTTCCATTTGCCTGATTGGATTTACACTAAAATGTCTCCTTAAAAATATCACATTTATTCCCTAATTAAATAACACTAGTGGCTTGAAGGGACATAAGTCCCTGAAAAGCTCAAATGTAAAACAAACTATTGTAATACAGTATAAACAAACTTAAATAAATCTAATACATATATCAGATATATATCCCAGTACAACATATCTTTAGTGTAAAAAATAGTTTGTTGTTTGTCTTTGTTTGCTTTTGTTGATGTTATTTTTAATAAATAATTTAAATTACTCCAAAGGTTTAACTCTGCTAAAGGCAGCAACATGTTTGTGAATAAATATTAGTTTAATAAGGTAGCTTTGGTCTTTTGATAATAAAAAGGCTTTCCTGATTAAAATATTGGAAATTGTCTTCGTCATATATGAAAAGGCAAATAAAGGTGTGTTGAGATAAGCTTAGTTAAAACCGCTAAATTAGCACCCCGACCCAGTTATTATTTCTAAGTGCATGCTCCTTTTGTAAACACTACAATAAATCTCAAATTAAAAATGTTAGTAAGTATACAAAAGATTGTAGAATAAATCTTGAACAATTTTTTTGAAATCAAAGCAAAGCAGAAGTTTTAACAATCTTGACTTAGGTTTGCTACAACAGGGAGGGTAAAAAGGTGTTTTTTGTAAAATGTTAGTAGTTTAGTATGAAATGAATGCATTTGCCAAATTTGATCAAAATATAATCATAAACAAGCAAACTACAACAGTTTACTTATTCTCCATAAGAATAACATGGGAATTTTAAATTTACAGTTTTTTGGAATTTAATTTAATCTCTGTAACCATTAGGCGCATAATAACGCTTCAATATACTAAATTATTTGTTTTTTTAAGTTCTACAAAATGGTTTGGAAAGAAAATGCTAATTTTTTTTAAGTTAGGGTCAAAAATGGGAAAACCCAATTTTTGCCCCATAAAACCCCCATAAACCCCTGTTCCCATAGTCCGATCATGCTGGTTAGCGAACTCGTTTGAATAAACGCAGGCTTACACGTTTGTACCAAATTTCATCAAAATCGAATTATTTTTGCTCGAGTTATAGCGCTAACGGACACATATATATATAAATATATTATATATGAATTTAAACGGATGGTGTTTTTGGTATCTAGGGACCTTAAAACGAAAAAGTAAATCGGTCCCGGGTCCAGGTCTTACCATGAGTACTACGGTAATAGCTTATTCCCTCCTATGGGAAATTCGCTAATAAATGTGGTAACCATTAATTTCTGATAATGATTAACCTAGAATTCGACCAAGAAGTTTGAGTAACACCTATCTGTAAACTATTTCAATTATCAATTATCAATTATTTAAGATGGGGACGCCACTATGTGCGTATTTTAACCGAAATATGAATGAAGGATGAGTGGTGCGGTCTTGTAGTCTTGTTAGTGACTAAGGCCGACATGTTCCTTAGGCACAGCTGTTAATTAATAGCCCATACAGCTAATGGCAACTAAGGGACCTACAGTTTATAGTGGAATCCGAACCACATTTTTTCCTTGTAATTTATGAATTGGTCTAGTTATCGGGATAGTACTGCAGATTGTCGTAGTACTCACAAGTGCAGACGTTAATTCACACCAGGGAGCATCGCATCCACAGTGCATCCCTATAAATATCCACAATTCATGACCTCCTATAGTAGCTGGATTACAGGACGACGCCATCCGTCCCAGTCAAATTATCAAAGTTTCAACTTTATCAAACTTTAAAAAATTATCATACAACTTTATGTGGAGAGTATTCTACAATACAGAGTGTTCTCATAGTTTAAAATATATCTATATTATTATGCTGCTTATGGGCTAAGAATCCACTTTAACATTACCACACAGCTTAAAGTCACTGGTAGTATTGGATTGGAACCTGGGTTTTCAGAATTATTTTGCTTCAAGCCTTGCTTGTCTCGAGTTGTCTCAAAAATCTAATTTGTCTGGTTAGCAGGGTAATCTTAGTGTTCCCATTCAAATCTGAAAACTGCTGGTTCAACCTGTAGCAGGATGGATTTTCGATCCATAGATGAATTTATTTGTCGTCTCAATATAAATTTGCCTGTTGGAGCATACAAAATGGAAACATCAATTTGTATAAGTTACAGTCATTCAGAAAAAATATAAAAAGACAGTTTAATTTTGTGATGCATTTTTCCACAGGCAGAGTTAGACAGTCACAAAGCAAGTTTTGTTCCTGACAAGCCCAGAGATCTCATGGACGTTTATCTGCAAATGCTCAACTCACCTGATCGCAAACCTAGCTTTTCAGGTAGGCCTATATCAAGTCTGTTGTTACCTTTATTGATATAGTAAGAGAAAATATAATTATAAATTTCACTTTGAACATTGAACTGTACTAATTTCTTCTAACAAGTATTTATCCTTGGTATCCATTTTGACAGACAACTTAAGTTTATACATTTATGGAACTTAGTTTGAATTTAAAAGCAAACAAAGTAAATTGGCTTATTTGGCCCAAAATTATCCATTGTAAAAATGTTTTACAAAATTATATTGAAACTAATTTGTGGCTAGAGTATCCAACTCTGGGGAGCCACTTTGAACTCCAACATAGAAATAATTCGAAGATTTCAATCCAAAGCCCTTAGGTTTTTTGTAACTTGTAATATTTTCCAGAGGACCAGCTGCTAGCTATCTGCCTGGACATGTTCATGGCTGGGTCGGAAACAACCAGCAAATCTCTCGCGTTCTGCTTTCTCTACATGTTGTTGTTTCCTGATGTACAGAAGAAAGCTCAGGAAGAGATTGATCGAGTGGTTGGTAGAGACAGGCTGCCCAACTTGAACGACAGGCCAAAGTAAGATTGTGTTCTTAAGTAATTCACCTACACCTACAATTAGTAAATCTAAAAAACTTCTGTATCAGCCTGTCTTCCATAAATCTAAGAAGTCAAGGAAATTTAATTTTGAAGATAAAAATAATCCCTTGTGACATAAATTATGTAATGAAGTATGGATTATGTGTCCCTATAACAGTATATGGCATATGGATATCAGAAGTATTTTTTCAAGCGTCTTAGTCAAATCAACAGAAATTTTAAGAGAAACCACAATATGGCAAATTTAATTAAAGAAAATTACTTGTATTTATTGGGCTCCCAAGACTCCTTTAGTGTGAACAGCAGCATTTAAGGACCTGCTGTAAAACCAGTGAACAATACAAGGTACAGGAAACAGACCCCACCCTTGGTCCATGACTATAACCACTACATTTGATATAATTTATTTAGGCAAGCATGCTGACCAACTTGCTAATTTAGCTGTGTTTACATTCATATTAGCATGATCAACATATTGGTGACGTGGGAATAGTTATTTGTGCAACTAGTGAGCAAAGTGAGCAATTGCCTCACTCGAGAGAAATCCTTATTCACGAGCCGTAGGCGAGTGAGGAATGGTTTCTCGAGTGAGGCGATTGCACTTTGCACATTATATTTTTCCTACAGTTACCATAAAACAAATAAATTGGAGAAGAAACGTGCCTTCACGTTGCAAATCTGGAGTGAGATAAAGTAATTAGAGTGAGCGAAATGATGAGCGAATTGGCCACTTTTCTCAAATCAGTGAGAGAACATGTACATTGTTGGGTAACTGTGGGGAAAGTATTTTTTAGAAACACACTCTACCATTGAGAACAGTAGAAAATTGAACTGAGTTCTTTCATAGAGAAGTATGTTTTTTTTTTTACTTCTCTATGGTTCTTTCTTATTCCAAAATAGCTACAACCTTGACATGGGATAGTATGTCTATTGTCTACTGCATGTAGATTATGTCCTCGGTGGTGAACACTGTTTGTAAGTAGATGTAAATGTTCCAGCATGCCCTACATGGAGGCAGTGGTGTTAGAGTCAGTGAGGATGTTTGTGGGACGAACGTTCGGCATTCCACACAGAGCTCGGAAAGACACCACACTACAAGGATACGACATTCCTAAAGTAAGTGGTTGGATTGGTCAGTTTATATGGTTTTATAGGAAATCTTACATAGAGAAAAAGACAACCTAATTTTATTCAATTTAAGATACCCCCACCGCAGCAAACCTGCAGACTAAGAGAATTTCTATTTGCCTGATTAGCTCACTAAAATATTTCGTTAAACTTGGCAGATTTATTGACCAAGACAGTTGTGGGTTTGGATCCTGGTACCTGCCACTTCTTATCAGTACACTTCACCGTTGTACTGTCCCGTCTCCCCCCTTGCTTTGCTATATAGGTTTCACTTACAGTTCCACAGTCTACGTGGACAGACTAAAGTAAGGTTATAAGAGGCCGCCAACATCTTTTTTATAAAGAAAAAATATTTTACAGAAAAAAACTGTCAGCACCCTCATGAGATGGTGGTGAGCTAATTGTACTTATTACTTATAAGACATTACCTATGCATTTAGGGGCGGTTCACGAGCTCGGGACTTCATAGTAGCGACCAGACGTGGGTACCGGACTATATAAGAGACGATAAAAAACTGGTTCACGAGACAGGGCGTAATGATGTGAAAGCCGGGCTTATCTTTGGTCAAGACCAAATCGATGCGGAGCCTAATGGCAGAGATTCGCAGGGAATCTTTGATGAGACGTTGGTAACAACAGCCTGGAAACACATGTGAAGCCACTGCTCCTGACTTACGCACTTCTATACAATAGAATGATCGTGAAAAAAGGCTAAATTAAAATTTCCAAAGTGATAATTATTCGCGTATTTTATTTTTTTAAAGCTAATGTATCAATTTTTGTTGATTTTCAAACACAAGCCTGTATGAAAAGTTTGTATGAAATCAGATAACTGAACCTGATTTTTTAAGTTGCAGCACAAATACCGGTTATTTCCGGCGGATTACGATAAACCCGAGCTTGTGAACCGCCTCTTAATGTTTTTCACATATTATGAACTCTTAATCTGTTTTAGGACACAATGCTTGTAGTGAATTTCAACTCGTGCATGATGAACGAAAAGTTCTGGGAAGACCCCCACATCTACAGGCCGGAGAGGTTTTTGAAAAATGGAGTCTTAGAAGTGCCTGAATTTTACATTCCATTCGGCTTAGGTAAGCAAGTTCCTTTATTTAGCCTACTATATGTTACACACTCTGTATTTTCTCTATTGATAATCATTTGTTCCCAGGAGTGACACAAACTGCTGTAAAATCTCCCAATGACCAACTCTAAAGATAGGTTTGGAGAGAAAGGGCTAATTGCCTGAGAATAGGTGTGAGAAAGGATAGGATAAGCAGGCTTACCTTAAAAAATGTAGGCATCCCACTTCATGAAGTGGGATGCCTACATTTTTTAAGGTAAGCCTGCTTATCCTTAGGTTAGTTTCTCACACCTATTCAACTCTAAAGATAAATTAACGTAAATTTACTTGTAAATTTAATCAAGGATTTGAACAATTTTATGAGAAACTCCTCATCTATCTGTGTTGCAGGCAAGCACCGATGTATCGGCCAGACACTTGCTCGCTCCAACGTGTTCCTCTTCACGTCTAGTCTACTACAGAGATATGATTTCTGTGTCCCGCCAGGCCAGGCTCCCCCCTCCACCAAGGGGGTTGACGGGGCAACACCCGGCACCGGCCTCTACACAGCACTCGTCAAACCTAGAGTGTTTACTTAGATTGAGAAAAGGTTAATTGAGAAACAGGTTATTTTCCGATCCGTTTATACCGTTAAAATATTGCTAGAATAGTATTTTTAACTACCAAACTAGACGACTGAGTACTAGGTCTACCTTTCTAGTATTTCCAAGTAAAGAAAGGAAAAGGTAGAAGACAAAAAGAGAGTATTTGCTATTCTGTTTTTCACTAATGAGTTGATTGGAATGTAAGCGTTGCTGAAGTTTACACGTTGTATTTTCAGTTTCCGTTAGTTATTAAAAGTCGGTGTTCATAAAAGGGATACAGTAGTTTACAGCTGTATTTTCCGTCAGTGTTTTAGCTGAGAACCAATTTTGTTGTTTTAAAAATGACTAATACAGGAGTGGATTGTGAACCTACTACAATATAGCGTACTATACTGCATATTAATAATTTTATTCAGTCAACTGTTTTCCTGAAAATGAAATAATTAGTTGTTTACTTCGTTTGCACACATGGCAAAACTGTCTTTCTATTTTTCACAACATTTCAAAAGAGCTCTTATTGCTTCTCAGTGTTAAGAAAAGAAAATGATTATTTTAAGAAACCGAATATTGGTTATTTACACCGCAAACACAATATATAAATAATTATAAAATAAATATATATAAAAAGTGTAACCTGGGATGTTAAGCTGTAAATATAATTTTATTAATTGATATTTCTCAATTTCAAAGACTGTAAAAATAGTTTATTTCACTGTAAATAATTAAAATACTATTTTTAGAATTAATATTTGATTATTTAAGTCTATAATTAAAATTATTTTTAGTTATGTTTAGGTAAATAATTGGATTTTGAGGAATGCTATTTTCATATAGGCTACATCATATTTACTTGTATTGATACAATATGAAATTTGTGATTTTTATCGCAAGATTGCATTTCCTTTATTACAGATTTACCCAGTTTGTTCTAAAATCTTTTGACCAAAAGAAGGATTTATTTTGTTCTGAACCAAATTTTGAAGAAACCTAAAATATTTCATATAAGAGTGCATATTTTTTTATAACTTCACAATTCTGTAATTTTCTTAGGTTGAACTTTCTATTCTTCACATTCCCATATCAATTTTCTATATTTGAATTTTTTCTAAATATAACTACAGTTTTCTTAGTGACTCAACAAAAAAGGTAATAATCCCACAAACATGAAATTCATAATGATTTATTTAAAGTAAAAAGTATAATTGCCGATTATAAAATCCTTGGTTGGCTCAAATAAAATGTTCAATTATGTTGCTACAAACATATTTCGAATAAAATATACAACAACACAAAGTAAGATAGTATTCTTCACTAGAGCGTAAAGTGACTCTTTTCGACCCAAACTCTTAAGTTTCACGATCGAGGCAAAGCCAAGGTCGGAAAATGAGTGAGGGTTGAAAAGACACTTTTTGACCATGTGATGAACAATAGTTTTCGTCATATTGCATCATAATTTAAGCAAACTAAGTTGGAAACAAAATTACTTTCATATTAAGATATTTTTTCAAAACGACTTCCAACTTGGTTTTAATTTTGCTAATTCAAATAAGCAGCTGTTTAGAAGGGGGTTCAATCATTTAGTACATGATGATTTTGTTAGTATAGGTACATCATCCTTTAGATATGTTAAATATTGAGAAGAATGCAAAATCAATTAAGTAAATCGATCCATGAAAATGATTCTGGAAGAATCAAATGTTTCAACTGAGTGTACAATAGCTGACTTACTCCCTAGGGACTAAAAAGGCTTTTAGGGAGTAAACAAGTTACTTTATACCCACAACGCATGTATTAAAACGGCTGTTTTTGCTGCAATATGACGAAAAAGTGATCTATAAGTTGCAAATAGCAATTATGTCTCCTAACCTAAAGATTTGGGCATTTAGTATTAATACATGGGAATTAATTTTTTATTTATAGAATCTTAAAACGATGCACTATACAAAAGAAAACAAAATGGAGGTTTTTATAAGCAATTTGTTTGGTCTTAGCTCAAATTATGATCTACACGAATCCTTCATTCATATTTGAATAGAATACACCCAGGGGCATCCCCATCTCATAATAATAATTCCCCATACATTTTTTTGTTCCTTTGCAGGTGGAACTTTTTAGGTATTGATTGGGAATGGTTCAAACTGTGGTCTTGTTACAATTTAAAGTTGAACTTTTGTAGAATAGCAGCATCATTAATTGATAGCCAATGAAAAAATTTGTATCTGGGTCCATAAAATTATCTTGCTTGGAATCAAACCAGCGACCTTCAGATTCGGCTACATTCAAAGGGGTTTGCTGGTGATTTAATTGAAATTTGTCAAGAGATTAAAACAAAATTGTTACCACTAATTAACTTTCAACAGAAAAATTCTGAGTTAACCAAATAAATATTTATAATGTGGTTTGATAATAGGACACCTGGTTCCCATTAGTGCTTCAAAAGATGATTAATACATTCTGCCCATTACAAAGCATACTGCTAGTCTTTAATAGAATCTGAAAACAAACTATGTATAAATTCTTAAAAATGATTAAAACTATGCTTCTAACATTGATTAAGTGGATATTTGCTCGTCACATTTATTTTCCTCGCCCTCTTCCGCGACGGCCTCCTCTACCACCACCTCCTCGTCCTCTCTTGACAGGAGCCGAGTCTTCTTCTTTAGCTTCCTCCGTCTCCTTTGTAGCTTCTATTGATTCATCTATATCCTTATCCACTTCTTCCCAAACACTGTCCGGTATGTCATCCTTCTCTTCTGTTTTGCTCTCGTCCACTTCCATAGATTCATCCTTGTCGCTCACTTTGCGCCTTTTCCAGTTCCCCTCGTCATCTTCGGCAGCCTAATCAACACGTAAAAGAAAAATGAAAGAGTTCTACTGGATCTAGACGAGTGGTTTTTAATATTTGTAACACAGACTCAGAAAGCTACTTTCTAGAAATTAATATGGTGCTTCTAACAAGTTCATTCTAAATGTTTATAACACCTTGTCTAAGGTATTTTAATCAAAGTAAATTTTACGGGGGGATATTGTACAAGTTTTATTGGCAAAACTCAATTTGGCAAAAATTAGGCGTAGATCACAGATCATTATTTAAGTAGTGAACAAAATAGTTCAATTTAGGCCTAATTATTTTACCTAATGGATATTTATATAAAATGTACATCAAACTACATTTAAATGGTGTTAAAAATTACTTATTTATATAGATTTGTTCAAGGAAGCCTCTAGGCATGGATTTTGAGTTGGAGAATAAAGAGAATAGCAGCTAGCTTACTTTAAGTACAGGTAGGCCATAGAACATTATAGAAGGCACAAAAGACACACAATATTTTGTCCCCTTTGGGATTTTTGTCAAGCGTAGAGAAGTGAAACAAAATGACATGACATATTAGAAAACTCTCCCGAAAAATATTGTATATTCTGTAGGTGTGTTCTGTATGTTCTAAAAAGCATACTGTATTTCTTCAAGGTAATCCAACTGCTATCCTCTTTATTCTACAATACAATCGAAATAAAATTCCTAATATAAACTTTCAATCGAATTGGGACTTAGGAAAAAAATGGCAGATACATATTTTATTATTGTTGGTTAGTTTTCTCTAGAAATTCTTTTTGAGGATAAATGGTCATGTAATAAATGGCCATGGGAGTGAGTGAGTGAGTAATGGTCATGTTTATTAGGAAGTATTTGAATTATGTTGGATCTTTTTCATTTCTAATTTTTAGGGATATATTTTAGAAAACTCTTACCAGCCAGGATTATGGTCATTTTCATAAAACTTCAATGTGTGCCTTTTTGACATTGACAGATTTTTTCCTTTTTCTTATGTTCACCTGTGAAGCACTGTCCTCAACCACCTTCTCCTTTCTCAGTTCAAACAAGCCTCCCGTCGATTTTAGGTATGTTTTAGTACAGTACACTACTGATTATCCTAGCCCCTGGATTATCCAAGGTCGTTTATGACTAAATAAATTTTTTTATATTTTCAGTTGGAAAACAATAAGAACTTTGTTATGCTGTTCAACAAAAATATTATGTTTCTAGTTTCTGTTTATAGGAAAGTAAAAATAGCAAATATAATTTGGGATTTGTTCAAATGAATACTTTAAATAGCCACTTTGACGTTAGAGTGATCCGCAATATCTAGAAAATATATTGCAATATACTATACTATATTATATTGCAAACTACTGAACTAGATGGACGAGCCGTTTGCAAAACAAGAACAAAAGCAGTGTTAGTCTTTTGTCATTACGATGTTTTGATGTAGACATGATTGTGCCAAGTGATGGCTCAGGCCAAACTCAACCAAAATGAAATTTCATGCTTTTAGACTAGAAAGATCCATCTTATTGTGCTGGTTCAAATACTATTGTATCGGTTTAGCAAAGCTCTAATAATGCTGTTTGAAGTTTTCAAGACGACCGATGAAGTGTTGGGCATGTTTGAATTATTCTCTTAGATAGCACTTATGAAAACGTCGGTTTTTACATTACAGAAGTTTCAGCAAATATGTTTACGGTGAATAAATAAAATTAACTTTTTTATTTATCACCCAAAATGTGTAGGCTAGTTAGTTTGATTAATTTGTTTTTTTTTTTTTTTTGTTATAAATAGCCTAGATTTATTACCTTATAACACCACTTTATCAAAAGATAAATCAAGGATATTATCCATAAACTCGGTTAAAGGATGAAATCTATAAGAAAATGTCTATGCATATCAACACTTTAAGGTTAATCAATTGAGAACTCATGCATTGTGTTGAAATAATTTACTTTACATTGACCACCACAAAACATTTTTACAAGGAAGATGAAAATTTAACACACGTGGAAATAAGCAGATTACAATACTACAGTTAGTAACATCTAAAAAAATAACAAACTTTTAATCCTACTTAACAAAAACCACACATATTATCAAAAATGATGAAAAATATTACTTGTATGTTACCAAAGTATTTGGCAATTTAGAAACAATATAAAATAGAGGAAAGTGCAACACGGTAGCTTACATTAAAGGTTATAATGTACAAATAGTGCTATTAGCAGCTTAATATTGAACTCGCTAAGTTTTAAAATCTATGGTTGTCAGTAAACTCCCTAAATAAACAAAAACAAATATTTTTTTTAATACTACAATGGTTTCAAATTAAAAAATTGTTAAGAACAGAAATTAAATATTTCCTTCTGACACACAAGTTCTTAAACACGGTTTTTCTGAGATTGAAACATGCAACGTTCTTATTAGTAGCCTACACCATCTCCTGAAACAAGGTAAAAATAGTAGTAGGTAAATAAAATAAATTACAAAAAATAAAATAAAATTATGCACTTTTATTGTTTTTATGTCATTTGAGAAGGTTTCAGGCCGGATGTGAAACTTTTTTAAAGCAAATCAAAGGAGGGGAACAGAAAAGCTGATAGAGATAGAGAACAACATACATAACACATCAAACTATTTAGTAGCAGTGGCCCCATAGTTGCATGCATGCTATTAGTATAATAGCACTCATGGCGAGTTAATTTTTTTTTGTAGTTAATTAACTTTCTTCCAACTCCATCAACAACCAGAATAATCCAAACCAACAAACTAACAAGTAACAAGTTAGTAACAACAAATTATTACTATTTTCTTTCGTATTTTTTTATACTTCTGTTTACAAATTTGTTTTCTCCAA